GGAATGGAATTCCGAGAGTTGCAGTAGCTTCGTTATGTCATTTGGGATGTGTGTGCAAAATTTCAGGTTATTCGGACGTGATTTGGTTGGGTTTTTTATCAAAATCGGAATTCGGAAGATTTTTAGAAACTTAGGCTTGAATCCGAGGTGTTTTGGTTGATTTAGTGTTGTTTGAAGTGTTTTGATGATTGGAACAAGTTTGAATAAGGTATTGGGATATGTCTGTGCTTTTGGTTGAGGTCCCGGGGGCCTCGGGGTGATTTCGGGTGGTCAACGAAGATGTTGGAATTTTGTGGCAGCAGCTGATAGTGCTGCTTCTGGTATTTCCGCACATGCGGATTGGGGATCGCAAGTGCGGCGCCGCACGTGCGGAAGAACTATCGCAGAAGCGGAAAAGAGGCCAGGCAAGCAGTGACCGCAGAAGCGCTAAGGATAACCGCATCTGCGCTGCCGCAGATGCGGAAATGCGGTCGCAGATGCGATTTTTGGCTGGATAAGGAGATTCCGCAGAAGCGGAAGAATAACCGCATATGCGGTACCGCAGAAGCGGCCATAGTACCGCAGATGCGAAAGTAACTGGACAGAAGAATTAAAAGAAGTCCTTCGCGAATTCTGGGTTATTTCACCATTTTTAACTTCGGCTTGAGAGCTTTTGGACGATTTGGAAGGAGAATTTCAAGGGAACTTCGTTAAGGTAAGGATTTTGGACCTAAAACACAATTCTATAGTAGTATTTCATGAATTTAGGGCTGTAATTAAAGGAATTAAAGGGCAAAAATGGAGGATTAGGGCTTGAGTTTAAGAGGCCTTTAAATGGGGATTTGAGGGGTCATTTAGACTCCGATTTTAGTATTTTTGATATGTATGAACTCGTGGGGAGATAAGGAATCCGTTAGTGTAAAAATTTCTGAATTTCGAGGCGTGGGCCCGGGGGTCGGCTTTTGGTAATTTCGGGATTTGTGCTCTTTATTGATTGTTTTCGCTTGGGCTTTGTTCCCTTGGCATATTTTGACGTCCTTGTTCTGATTTTGGATAGATTCGACGCGCGTGGAGGCCAATTCGAAGGGCAAAGGCATCGCGAGCTAGAGATTTAGCCGGTTCGAGGTGAGTAATGATTGTAAATGATATCCTGAGGGTTTGAAACCCCGGATTGCACATCGTAGTGCTATGTTGAGGTGAGACACACGCTAGATGACGAGCGTGGGGTCGTGCACCATTGGGGATTGTGACTTAGTCCATCCCGAATGACTATTTTTCTGTATAATTGGCAGCTAATTGTTTGATATTAGTATACTTTGGGCTAAATGCCATATTTGGGCTTCGTGCCAACTGTTTGAACCCTTAGGGGATTGTTAATGATGTTTTCCTCACTGTTTGATTTCATACTTGTGCTCAGTCATGCTATATTTCCACTATTTTAAAAACTCAGCTATGTTATTCTGTTTTAAACACATTAATTGATATTTTCAAAGATATTTGAGCTGAGCTTCATATTTTACTGATGCCCGAGGGGCTTATGAGATTCTGACTGAGTAAGGCCGAGTGCCTGTATTGTGAGGATACTTTTGGGTCGGGCTGCACGCCGTAGCAGTTATATACTGATTATGATAATGAGGCCGAAGGCCTGAGATTATGCGCCACGAGGTGGCTTGATATTGATATGAGGCCGAGAGCCTGTTTATGATGCCACGAGATGGCTTGATATTGCGATTGGGCCGTAAGGGGCCCCTCCAGGAGTTTGCACACCCCCAGTGAGCGCGGGTACCCATTGTGTTGTGAGATTGAGCCCGAGGGGCTGGTATTGTTCTGAGATATTGCCCGAGGGGCGGATTTGTGGATACTGTGCCCGAGGGGCGAGCTTCTATTTATTCACTATACCTTAATTATCTGTCAGTTACCTGTTTATTGTTGGGAAAGGATTTTACTTGGCTTTTCACTGGTTTACTATTTTTAACTGGCTTTACTGCTTCATTATAGAATGCCTTGTACCTTACGTGTTTTCTTACTTTCAGTCATTATTTACATTTGTTACTCACTGAGTTGGAGTACTCACTTTACTCCCTGCACCCTGTGTGCAGATTCAGGCGCATCAGGTCCCGCTCCCGAGTGCTGATTCCTCCAGATTCAGGCGAGCTTTCGGAGATTACGAGGTAGCTGTTGACGTCCGCAGCCCCGTGTCTCTACTCCTTTATTGTCTCTATTTCCTTTCAGACATTGTACTAGTTATGGAAATTATCAGAATCCGGTTATGTCTTTTAGATGCTCATGACTAGTGACACCCCGATTAGGGCTGTGTATGGGTCATTCTTCCGCGTATTTATGTTAATTTTTGACTATTTTGGATTTATTTTATCATGTTTAAACTGTTCTTAAATGCTTATCTGGAAGTTGGAAATGGGAAATGTCGGCTGGCCTTGTCTTCATGAGAGGCGCCACCACGACCGGATTCGGGGTTAGAGTCGTGACAACCTCGAACAATGTCACGAGAAAAAAAATCTTTGACCAAAGTAAGCAAAAATCTTCTGTTTTTCCCCTGAGAATAGTATGCATGCCAACCAAGATTCCAATCATAGACAACGCCGAAATGGCTGACGAAATATAAAGTGTAACTATACATGCACTCTATTAAGTATTGAATATTGCTACTACTTGCTAGTGAATTCCAAAAGAATGGGGAACATGATAACATTTTAGAGGTGACGTTAATAAGAAAAGAGTAAAACTAGATGACGTTAACATTGCAAATAAAACATTTGGTTTTGGACGAAACAACTTTTTCCACACTCACAATTTTCGTGATACTTTGTCTTCACTAATTTAAAATCTTGGATCTACCTCTGCATATGGTAACATAACGGATTTTCTATGTTATATCTATGACCATTTCTTTTAAATGTTAATCTTAAGCGTAGGTGATACTTAAATCCTAATAAAATTTAAAATTGCCATTAAAATGATAAAATATTATGTTTTTGTTAATATAACTTAGAAAATCTTGCTACATGACTGTTTTGTAAAATTTTCTAATGTACTAACACTTTTAGCATATTTTTCTACTACTACAATTTGTTAAGGCGTGTCCGTTTTCTGTCTAAATTATTGGAAATGTTACCAAACGAAAGAAAAGGTATCTAATTATTTTGCTTGTGTAGTTTATGACTACTCTTTTGTTTCATTCTAGCATTGGCCAACATTATTCATCATTCGTCAATAAAACTTTAAGCTTTTCTACTCTTAATAATTAAGATTCTTTCCTTTTATGTGTTGATATTGCTTCCTTTCTTGATAAACCTGTGTAATCCACACGGAATGACGTAGAATCTTTCAAATGGCACTTATGAAATATTTTCAAATGTAACTAAGAAAAGGAATATAAAGTATCAAGAGAATCTTTGACTGTATCTAGAACTTAGAGGTAAGGTACTAGACTACTAGTTTAAGAGGGAAAAGGAGAAAAGATAACAAAGCAAAATAGAAATAATCGTTTAATATGGCAAGACTATATTTCACATTTGACCAAATTATGAGCAACCCTTTTTTTTTGTTTGATAGTCAACTCTATAAAATTTGTTCCTTTTTTCCTCACACCAAAAAAAAAAAAAAAGGTTAAGAAACTCGCAACATTTGCTCATGAGCTTTTGCATATGAACAGAAGGTGGAGTGAAGCATTACCAGTAGCTCGTTCACCATTTCTCTTTAATTATTTAAGCTATATCGCCTGCATGTGTATCCTCTTATCATCTAAGTGCTTTTTTCAATTTTAGCCCGCGCAAAAATTATTTACATTAGATAGTTGAAAAAGTATATAAAATTTGTATAATCTTTTGTATATAACATATCGAATGTGTGTGTGTATATATATATATATATATATAAAGTATATATTTTTCGGCTATTATTTTGAAAGCGGTTATACAATGTTATTTTTCCATCATTTTTTAATGCTATACATTAGTGATGGCAAAATGGTTAAAAGAAAATATTTATCCACCCATATTATCCACTAAAAAATAGGTTAGATAATGAACTTTTTAAAAATGAGTCAAATATGGATAGGAACCATATTATCCATTTAGAAAATGGATAACTAATGAGTTTTAACTTTTACATTTATAAAGACTCAAATTGGGTTCCTTAAGTTTGGGAGACTAGGAATTCTCCCAAAAGTGATCATATTCAAGAAGTCATGGATAATATGGATATCTATATTATCCGCCAGTTAACCCGTTTTTTATTCGTATTAAATGAGTCGGGTTGGATAATTTATCTACTTTTGCATTACCCGTTTTTAACCCGACTCATATCCGACCCGACCCAACCCACCCGTTTGCCACCCCTACTTTACATGAAACTTAAAAAAAAAAAAACGGGGGGGGGGGGGGTGGGGGGGTTAACCCAACGAAGGATTAGGCCCTAGGTTAAAGTTGTCGAGCCCAATTAAATGTCTCCTCCTTTAGCACACGAACTCTATGGGCTTGTTTGATATCTGATAGTCCGACAATAGAACAAGTTGCGTCTTCCTGGGGGCCCAATCAATCTTCCCCTGAGCAGTTACAGTGGCCCAAAGGGAAGAGTGGAATAAATCCTTAATTTCCCACGAAGAAGAGTTAACCTAAATTGTCTCTCACCATCGCTTAAACTAAAAATAACTGACGAATATATCCTTTATAACAACACTTTACTATAACGGCGAAATTTTCTGTGGAATCAATCTTTTATGTTATGTTATAATATATGTTTTCTATAACAACACTTCACTGTAGCAGCCATCAAAATAAACAAAGCTGTTATAAAGAGATTTGGCCATGTATAATCTATGTCTAATGGCTAAGAAAAGTAAACCGATATTTCATAAAATCAGATATTGGTTGGACATACGTTGAGCAATAAAAATGAGTTGTGAAAAGTTAAACATAAAACCACCAACCTACAAAGCTAGAGATTAGAGATAAACATGAGTATTTGTATACTACAGTTACTACTGCAATGCGAATGCACCACTATTTGTTAGCGTTAGGAGCATTACAAAATGGGTTCGTTCCCTTAAGTGGTTTGTAGTCTGTCTTGAGTCTCTTGGCAGCTTGAACAAATCCCCCAATTACCTCCAACTCGTCCAATTGCTTCACCCAAAAAAGAATCACAAATTGCAGTCAGCCGAGCAATACAGTCAGACTTTGCTATAAAAGCATTCCTATATAACAGTCATTTAATATAAAAGTAAAGTTTTTCTAATCGAGTTTTATATTATGTTATATGTGTCCTCTGTAACAACACTTCACTATAGCAGCCAAAAAGTATCATAACAAACGAGGCTGTTATAGAGAGGTTTGAATGTATTTGGAAAAGCTAAGAGGATAACATAACTTATAACACAACTATACATGCAAGGGAAGTGCCATTAAAATATGGACCTCAATTAACAATAACAATAACGATGACGACTCGGTGAAATTCCATAGTGGGGTCTGGGAAGGATAGTGTGTACGCATACCTTACCCCTATCCGAGGGGGTAGAGTGGTTGTTTCCGAAAGACCTTCGGCTCAAGAAAACGGACAAAAAAAAAGAGGTAATATATCGTAGACATTACAATATCGACCTCAATTAACATGACATTAAAATAGATCAATCATAGAATCACCACGACATAGACATACACTTAAATACAGAATCTGAACCAAAGCAACGGCTAGATAAGAGATAATAAAGAAAGTACCAGGGATGAGAAATGCCTCTGGACAACATCAATTAGTTGCTCCCTCGTGGGATTAGGTATAGCATTGCTTACAAGTTTAAAGTGTCGACAATATCTCCACAGTGAACCCATCTCGAGTTTGCTTAGGTCAACCTTCTGTAGAAAGAACTATCACTAATAATTACGCTTCAATCACAAACAAGTCGGAGTCAGCTACATAAAAATATTCGTACCATGGACCCACGAGGAGTAGAAAGAGATCCTTTCAACGGCGTGTCACATGAAACGGAGCGGTTTATGCCCTTGTGAGATGACCCGGATGAATTATGTATACGATGCTTTGATCTATGAGACATTCGAATATCATCGGATGCTAAATTAAGAAATAGAAAAAGCAAATAAATCAAAATACTATAGCATAATTTTAAAAACATGATACAAGATCTGCTTGAAGATACACTTCAGCAATAAAACATTATTTCCTCAGAGGCCAGCAGATTTTACAAATTGCCAAAATTCAGAAGGCAACATATCTTGAATTCTCCACGGCTTAACCTAATGCGAGCGTTATTTGTGATTTTCACAGCTTGAACTCGTTATCTATAAGTCACACAAAAACAACTTTATGGTTGTTCCAAGATTTCATTCCTAATACCACGTGTTGAAGATCAAATATAATTACTGAGTATCACATAGGAAAATAAGTTAGCAACGTACCTTCGGCAATTGTCATTATTGTTCAAATAAGAGTAATCACTATCGTGAAAAATCTTTAGAAAAGCTAGAGGCTAGCGCCAAGGTGACGGTGTCATGGTTTTTATAAATGGTGTAGGACTCTTAGTAAAAACCTTATCCCTAGAGACTAATTATGAGTTAATTATGGTTGACCTAAAGACTCCTAATAAAACGTTTCCTCTTAAAGAGACCTGAAAATTCGAATATATTTTTCTACTACAATTTGTTCAAAAAAAAAAAAGATGGAAAAGTTAAGCTTTTCTAATATTTATTTCAATAAATTAAGAGATCCTATCCTTCTGTATGAACTGCTATGCTTCCTTTCTTGATAAATAAACAAGTGCAATTCAGAACGCAAGGGAGTAGAATCTTTTAAAACGGCAGTTTTCAAATATAATACACAAAAGGTGGGATCTATAAGTATCGAGAGAATCTTTGACTATATGTAGGCCCGAGAGCTAAGGTACTACAAATAAGAAGGAAGTAAAGATATATCTAAAAAAAAAAAAAAAG